GCCGATTATGTTTCCTGTTTGTCTCCGGGTCCTGCTGCTTAACTAAACGCCGGATTGGAGCGTATACGTATTCATTCGAGTGTTCACGAAATCCTCCATCTGTTGACTTGCAGTCTGAGATCGTGACACGATGTAACTTTGTGTAGAACCCAAACCAGTTATTTTTCCTCACACGTGTTTCGCCACGGCTACGTTACTTCTGTCTGGATGGGCCTATTTGTCTGCATCATTCAGTACACTTCTGCCCCTTTGCCGATGACCCGTTCACGCGTTTGCAATTCCACCAAAATGTATGGAAATAACCTCATTTGGATAAGTGTGGCTTAATGCCGAGCCTTGTGCATTATCTGAAAATAATCCCCGATGCCTTGGATGGACAAGAAGTGGTAATCCCAAATGAACGGTTCAGATTAAAACACCACCTTCTAGCGGTGTATAATCAACTCTTAAGCTGTGTTGTTTTTTACACATGACTTATACTGAGTACAACATAGCTTAATAAGCTTTCGGTAGGCAACGTCAAGGACCAGGAATTCTTCAGTAGCAAAATAAAATTGCCAGTAAAGTTCGTGAACAAGTTAACAGACAGTGTTTGTTGAGATATTTCGATTACTTTACGCTAAATAGGACCTCGGAAAATCAATAAACGCATACATGCAACCAGTACTGTGCCGTTAGTTCTTCAGCAGAATATACCAAAGTTGTAGCACGTATTCTCCTTCGCCTAGCTGTTAAGCCAGTAGAAAACATGAAGCACCACTCATGTTAGATTCACTCGCGCAGGCTATGCAGTTTTCCGTCACGCCCGCAGAGATTCCCATTTGTAGCATTCTCGAAACCAAGGGCACCAAACACCCTTTCAATGCAGTACAGGCTGTGGAGGGTCAGTGTGTGAGGAACTCAGCTGGAAGACTGTACAGGAGCAGTGTGATGTCAACTGCTAAGCTAGTAGTGAGATGAGGGTTGCAAAGTTTGTGCGTAAAGATGATAACTTCTAGAGTACTTCACAATATGCATCTTAAAGTATTAACCATCGCACATTGCATTCATCGCATTCACCGGATGTATTTAGAAATAACACCATCCTTAGAATATAGTGAAAAACATTTTTTAACATCCCATGAAGTAGGGATTTCCCCGAAAAGGCGGAACTAATTTACTTGGTTTCGTTGCTTTCAAAATGGTTGGATTTCATGCCACCAACAGTTTCACCGACAAAGCTTGTCACCAGCCGGACTAAACAGTACTCACGGGGCAAGCGTTGTCCTAAATTTGCTTCAAAATTCTGCTCGTCCGAACCACCAAGGTGGCTATGATCACTTACGTTTTCAAAAGGTTGTTATGTACGTTGTAGGTTTAATTCACTCCGTAGTGATGAGGTGATTTCGCAGATTCTGAAATCAAGAAGACTGATATGTGCATTCACGAATACACAGTCTCCTTGAGCTTAGGAAATGAAGTACACTTACCATCTAACGGATTCTGGAGATAGTATTTTAGCATGGTCAGACAGGATTTGTTGGAGCAAAAGTTGAGGTGTATCTCACCATTAAGTTGCACACTAATTTCGCTTTAGCCAGGGATCTGACTGAATACAGCCGATTCAGTTGTATATGCTATTCAGTTGAGTGTGGCGCATAAGGCCACCTTAGGCTTCAGCTGATACGATTTTCGATATATCGCAGTTGAGTGTCTGTACGGGAATCTTCGGAGAGTTTTCATTAATCCGTGTTCCGTCTAATCAACATCTAGCAGTGTTTCGCCACCTGTGTTCGGATGATGAGCGTTGCTAAACAAGTAGATGAACGAGTGCCTACTCACCACTATTCAGTAGGTTGTATTAATAGCAGTTTTGGAAAGGAGACGAGTAGCAAGCAAGCGACCAGGTGTTCGCAAGTCTTTCATGCTAAATCGCGTGTGTACTTTGCCGAGTGTATTGTTTCCGTTTCCTGTTTATGACCTACCAACTTTAAACTTTGTGGAGTTACGATGCACCTCGCTGTGACTTCAGACCAACATAATTTTATTAAAAATGACCTTCTAATGGGCTATCCGGCACCACTCTTACTCAAAGTGGCCAAGCATTCCGTTCATTTCGTCTACTAAAATTTAGACTTCGATCCGAGAACCACGTAGACAGGGGTCAAAAGATCCCGAAAACATCCTTTATTATAAACTCAAACCCAACTGCATCACCGGCTTTTTGGCAGAACTGGAGGATAAGCCTGTTGCTATTGATGGTGAAGAACTGCGCTGGTGAGTGGTGGTGATTAGGTCGTGCAAGACTTATCTTCCAGACACTGTGGCCTTCGCCATGTGTCAGGAATAGTTTAGTGACATAGCGGCACGCAGAAGAAACATTGGATGAATGATGGAGTGATCAGGTGGCATCATCTTCCGCCTTAATTTTACTTTTAACTTTTATCGAAGGCGCAACTTCAGCAAGCGAACGATATGCGAGCGAACAGAGTGCATGCGGAGGATGCTCAAGAGAGTGATTTGCATGTTACGATTTACTAGTGAAGGTTTTACGGGGGAATATATACCTGTGAGTGAAGGGCGTCCATTGCTAGGCGAAAATTTTTGATCAACCTATAACGTGCGTCAGCTTTGTTAACTGGAAGGCAAAACCTGGAGCAAACAGGGACCTACGAGGCACAGATTTCTCAAGATACCTGGCGACAAAGCTAAGACAACTTGTAGTAAATTCATCACACTCCTACTTATCTGACTTGCTAAACAATCAAGAGAACTTGCCTTTCAAAGGAGCCCAAAGTGTGCTGGGCGTTTTCAAATTTGTTGCGCTGGCAAAATGTTCGCTTTGGATGTTCGAACGGTGATTTGTGAGATATTGGTTTGGCACTACGGTTATTGTTTATCTTCTCCGACCGCAAGAGTAGTTACAGCTAACCGTCTGGAGAACTGAATGAAGGAGGAATCAATCACTGATTCCACGTCTTTTTAAGAAACATACGTTCGTGATGAGAAGATACACGATCTTGTGCCAATTTCGATCTGTTCTAACACCAAATTGTTCGGAAAGTCTTATTGCTGATGAGCAGCCAGTTCACGTGTACCTAGTGTACATTCCCATTTGGACTCCTCAGGATATTAAGTGTATTAAGTGTGTACGCTTTCAGCGTACACAAATAGTGCACGTCTACTTGGGGAGCCAGGAAGAATAAAGACCTTTCGTGGCAGTGGTTTTCCGTATACGACTGCACCTTTATGAATAATAGTAAAATTCCAAGCCCATCTTTCGGTTACTATCATGTATCCTGCCTACCACTGCTCAACGAATTTACATTTTCGAACATACGTCAGCTTGTCGCAGCTAGCTCAGCAGCTACTATGATCAACATTTACAACCAATTAAACCACCTATTCAGCCAAGCAGCCCTCTGTAGCCTATCCTGAATTAGCCGCTTTGCGTATTGGACTAGCTAATGCATATAGGACACCAAGCAGAAAAGTGATTTTTTTCGAAGCTTAATACTATACAGAATACTGTGGTCCAAACAACTGTCTCAGGCCTTTCTGCCTGTCCATGTTCATCAATTCTAGCCTTAGACGTCAGTTCGACTGAGTCTGCTAGGCTATTCATAGCTCTGTCAACTATACATGTGCTATCGTGATATGTAACAATCGGTAACACGTAGAAGTTGCTTGGGAGTTGTCTGAAGTGTCAGTACTCTAGTCTGTGGGACTTGACTTGATATACTGAACAAGCAGTAGCCATCAGTTCATTTCCCGGACGCTTCAAAAGGGATTACAAAATGAACCGCTCAGAAGTGACAGTTAAAAATTTCACTTTGTCCTGATGACTTAAAACTGCCATTTTTGGTAGTGACCCACCCCATTTCCAAGATTTCTGGCCAGGGGAACT